AGGTCCATGAGCCTTCCCCAAAGCTCCCACCGCATCCTTAGTGCTCTCTGGGCATATTCCTCACCCCAGAATTCTCTCTTTCCCGGGCTGGTGGGTCTTCCCCCAGGCCCTGTATACACTCTCAAATCGGCTACTCCCCCGACTCTAGCTGCAACCAATTTCCTCAGGGTCCACCATTTAACTTGCCCTGGGAGGTTACTAACATATACACATTGCCTTCTTCCCAATATTTGCCCTCCGTCTTGCCTGGTTATTTTTGATGCTGAGGAAACTTCTGCTTTCTTAGCTTGGTCTGCAGTCTGGGTCTGGCATGGTATTTGCTTCTGTGCGGGGCTTGGTAGCTTGTCCTCAAGGTGGGACTTGGGGCATACTTCTGTTTTCCCTTGAACTTCCCTTGGTGCTTGGCCTCTTCTCCTCATTTCAGGCTCTATTGGCCACCATTTGCCTAGGGCTTTGGCCATTCTCTCCTTTGAAACATGTATCAGTTTCACTGTTTACTAAGACCTGGGTCATCTTTGGTCTTTGACCTTTTTGTTTTAAACATTGCCCCTTCTGAGTGTGGCCTTGGCAACTCGGATCACTGATCCTGCTTCTCGTACTGGACTACTCATGCTTCTGCACAGTTGCCACACCCGCCTTATCGACTTCTGTCTGTTGTACCTGGTTTGGCACTGCCAGTCTTCCAGAGTCATGCTCACTAGTAAGTCCTTCTAGCTGCTTTCTTAGGCGGTTCACCTCCTTTGCATGCTGACTTATCCACTGACGCCATTTCCGATCCAGGCACTCCCTGACTGTGGAGATGATCTCTTCTCGCACTGTCATGGGATCTGCCCCTGAGGGCACCTCCATCATTGTATTCTTCTGCTCTGTTTGCCCCTCTTCTCTGGTGTTTCCTGAGCCTGCCTTTCTAGGTTGTTCCTGGTCTCCCTGGACCTTTAGGAATATGAGCCATGAAGTCTCTATCAGTTTTTCAGTCTCTATTAAAAACTCTTTCAAGACTTTGAGCTCCTGAAAGTGCTCCCTGCATTCTGCGTTATCCCTGGATGCATACTCTTCCAACCGCATGCCAGATAGTTGCAACCAGTCTATCTTCCCGTGGTTGAGTGGTCTGTAATGTTTACTGCTGTATCTCTGCCCGCAACACCATCTCCCTGGCTGCACCCTCTTCTAAAGGGGTCTTCAGGGACTGTCTCTCTCCCCCAAGTTGGTCCTTTACCCTCTTCACCCTTTGCCACTGAGCTCGCAATTCTGCACACTCCTCAGTTCTGGCTTTTACCTGTTTCAGGGGACTGCTTCTGATCCTGCAGTGCCTTGTGATTCACCATGTACCCTCTCACTTTCTCCATTCCTTTTGCTATAGCTTTCCCTGTCTCTTCTGACTGGTTATGGCTCTCAATTAGCTTTTCTCACAACTCTTCAACCTGGTGTTTGGCCCGTAAGCATCACTCTTGCCAGCTCTCCAGGTCCTCATGCAGCCCTTCTATCTGGTTCACCTGGCTGTGGATTTCTTTCTGGAGGACTCCCATAAGGCTCTTTGATATTTCCAGCTTCTGTAGAACATCCTTTTGTTCCACCGTCCGGGCCATACCGGGTTCAGGAGACTTGATCCTCCATTCAGCCATCTCCTTCTGCATCTCTTGCAATTTTTCCTCCCGCTGTTTGCTCTTCTTGGCCTCATTTGCCATGAGCTGTTCCAGCACTCGAGTCTTTTCCACCTCAGCTGCAGTCAGGCGCTTGATTTCCTTAGACCTGCCTTCTTTCTTCCCAGGTTGCACTCACAGCTCTAAAGCAGCCACTTTCGCCTTGGCTTGCTCATTTTGGGACTTCACCATTTCTAATTCATACTCTAGACGGGCAACTTTTTCCTCTACCTCGTCCATCCTCAATTGCCAGGTGAAGGCTTCTTGCCGCATACCTTCCAGAGTCTCTACTTCTGTCATGATTCTGTCTGGCCCTACTTCTTTCCTAGCCCAGACCTAAAGTCTTCCCCTCTACTGTCTCTAACAGCAGTATTTTTTTCCCCAACCTCACATCATCTTCCTGAGCCCCAGTCTCACTGCCTTTCACTTTGATTCGCTGTGATTCTAAACTGACCCAAAGGTTTGTTTCCCTAACTAGGGACACGGGCTTGTCCCCGTGCATGGCCTTGACTTCCCGGCTAATGCACCATTTTGTCACAGAATAGGGTCCCCCAGGATGGCCGTGATACCCCTAGGGCTCCTTGACCATGCCAATCCTGACCCACAGGCACCCTCTTTCTTTCCTGCCATGTCTTGCTGTAACTCTAATAGATGGGGAGGCTGCCCTCGAGTTTGTGTTGTTGGACACAGTCCTGATGGACCCCACTGAACCCTATGGGTTCTTGGACCCCTTTTGGGTCTTGCTCCAAAATGGATGCCTCTTGGGACACCTTCAGCCTTATGGACTAGATGTGTGGCTCCAAACTGTCCCTTTACCATGCCCCAAGCCTTGCAGATGGCATTCACACAGAGTCCTTCTGAGGCCTTAGTTTCACTTGGCCTCTGATCATCACTGGACTCTCCGCAGCCCTGTCTCTCTCTCTTTGCACTCCTCAGCACTGGGGTCCACTCACCCCTTTTGTCACTGCACCCCTGGTGCTGGGGTCCACTCACCCCAGATACTGCACCCACACTGTTGCTGGGGTACGCTCACCCCTCGGATACTGTGCCCACACTGGCGCTGGGGTACCCACACTGCAGTGGGCCCCCAATGAGGCCTCCTCCTTCCCCAATAGCCTCAGCCCAATCCACCAGTTTACAAACAAGTCAAAATATGAGCCCCTGGGCTATAACATAATGCAAGCAGCTCAGGGTGTGTTCTGTCCCTTTAAATGAATCACCCTTCCCCCAGCACAACATGCCTTGTAGGTCAGGGTCTGGTGAGCTCCTGAAGTCCCTTAATCTTACCAGGAGCAGGAGATGGGCCGTCAAGCCTCTTTGCTTAGCTTCCTCTAGGAAAGCTCCTTCCCCCTTGGCTGCTCGTAGAGAACTCCCTCTCTGGTCCCAGCCCAGGCCCTGCCTCTTCCAGTCAGCTAACCACCTGCAGGTGCGAGCTAATTCCCTCATTCATGCTGCCATGGTAACTTGCAGCTGAGACGTTCCTGAGTGACTGCTAGGGTTCTCTCCCTAGGCAGTTTCAGCCCTTAAAGGAGCAGGCACCTTAGTGTCCTGCGACACTTCTTTCCTAAGATTAGGAGGAGCAAATGGAATGCTTAACACTTTTGAAAACCCTTCCAACTATGCATGTCTTACTCCTTTATGAATAACTCTTTTTCACTTTTTCTTCCTCAGAGCTCTTCCTGCAATGATGCAATGGGTCCGAACCCAGAAACCAGGAGAAAGTGGCATCAATATTATCACTGCAGATTTTGTAGAACTTGGCGACTTCATCAGCACTGTCATAAAACTCAACTATGCGCTGGATGAAGGGGAAGTTGACACTACTTGATAGTACTGTAATATGTTTGCTGTGCATTAAATAGATTTTAAAATGTATTAGAAAAATATCTTGTAACGCTCTGATCTTCCTATAACACTGAATCTCTGAAGTGTTTAGGGCTTTTTGTGGGTGGGCAAAAGGGTACCATTTTCATTGATTAATCATTTTCTATGCTAATAAACCCATGCATTTTTCATTTGACAAGCAAAACAGGATCTATTGACAAATTTAAACAAAAGAAATCACTAAAATCTTTTCCATGAAATACCAAATATAATTTCTGTGTCTTACATTTGACTTTATTAACAGTGCCAAGAAATGTGCTATATACAGAATTAATAGCTATATATTGTTCTCTGTCTGCAAAGGGGATTCCACAATATGAACACTTGTGCTGCTGACTGAGGGCAGTATATTACCTTGATGCTTTTAGTCCATGTCCTCCATCCATGAGACAACATAGCTGATTGCATTTATTAGTGGACATCAGGTTTACTGGGCTTTGTGAAGCAAAGTAAATATGAAGTCATGCCTTCAACATTCATATGGTTGACAGTAAACATAGCCACATTAGGTAGTCTCTGCAGAGTATCAGCTAAATCTTGGTCACCTTTCATACACAGTAGGGGATTTTCAGAAGTGCCTCTTCTCCTGTTGAAGTTAAAAAGATATACAGTATTGACCTAATTCTGCTGTCATACAAGTCAGTGGAAGCTTGTCATGGACTTCAATGGGAGTAGGACTAGGTTAATATTGACCACTTTTAAAAATCCTTCCTATGGGTGGACCTATTAGAGGTCTGATAAAAGGTATATTGAAGTTAACAGGCCATTTTCCCATAGTGAACATTGGATCAATTTCTAAATCATTCGTATTCATATGCTTAAAATGAACGGGATTTGTTTGTATCAATAGGAATGTGCTTTCTGTGGGAATACATCTATACAACCTAAAAACTGATTTTTTTAATATGAAGGTGCAGTATACATTCTCTTTCAGGCAGCTATAAACACAGAATAGTTATCTGCTGATTTAAACAATGGTGCCAATTCAGGAATGAAAAAAATGTTGTATTAAACAGTGCAGGAGTTCAATGAGTAGCAACTAACTTTATAGCCCTTTCTGTGTGGCTCACAGTAAATCATGAGAAGAGGTATGGATTGCCTTACATGGCACTAGTCATTCTATTATTTAAGAAACATACACAACTCTAATACATGAAAATGTTGGTGAAGCATAGCAAAATAAGAGCAGTGTCATTGTAGGGTTTCAACAACTCAAGAACTGGAATACAGTTGGTTGTATGTAGTATATGTACTGATATGCATGCATGTCATTTGTTAATGCAAAACATACCATGTCTACAAATAACAAACTACACAGCAGTACAAGAAGACTGCTCTTGATGGGTTAGGCTTTATAAGACAAAACTAAGTGGCTTCTTTACTCAGTCAAGCTTCCTTTGATAGGGGTTATCTGACCCCAGCAGTCTTTCCTGCCCAGAGCAGTGGGGCTGGACCCAATGATCTCACAAGGTCCCTTCCAGCCCTAAACTTCTATGAATCTGTGAATCAGTGAAACATTTGATTGAGTAAGGAGTAAGCATGGTGTTATTCTGCTCTTTGCTAACCTCCATCTAAAATATGAGGAAACATGACTGGAAAAGAAGAAAATAATGTCACTAGACAGATGTATTTTTCATTAACAAAATATTAGAATAAAATATAAACTTGTTGATATTTGGTACTTGGAGATGTGCTGGAAGGGGTGTGTGCATGTATATATACAGTGAAGCCAAAAATATTACATGCATGTACAGGGTAAAATATCCACACATTCATAACTATATCCAGGTTTTAAGTATCAGAGCAACAAATGAAAGAAAGTAAATATACACCATCTCTTTCATTAGTGGTCTCTGTGTAGTGATTAGGGCTATTTGAAACAATAACAGTGAAACAGCAAAACTGGGCCAGTTTAGTTTGTTTATGAACCCAAAACTTTACTAAAACTGACTAAAAAGTTTGCTGAAGTTCACAAATGCTCTCTCTTCCAACAGAAGACAGAGAGGGGCGTTATGGTTTCCACCCAATCCAGACAACATTCCGTAGGGTGTTGGGCTGAATTTTGTTTTCCATTTACAGATCCTTTCAAATGAAAATTGAACGAGTGTGAAATAATCAATTACGCATAGCAATCAGTTTTGCAGTGCCCAATGCATATTAAAACTGCCACGTTTTGCACAATTTTTGAGGCAGTGCCTTTTTCTATAAAACAGGGTGTCCCCAGTGGTGTCAGGCTACAAATTCTTTCTTTACTTCTTGGAGATATGAGTTAGGAAGCTGGTTTATGAGCCTTTTTTTAATTTCTACTGTCATTTTTGTCATTTTTCAGTTATTTGTGGTCAAACATTTTAACTAAATGGGAGTATTACATATACATGTTTTGAGCTTTGATAATATTTAGGGTATGGCAAAACATAAATCTAATTTGCTTTTTAATTTGTAAGCAGGTTTCTAAATATATGTACTTAAGAGCCACAATATTGATTTCCTCTTGGAACCCTGAGACAAGCACACATACAATGCCACAAAAAGGGTTTCAATTATATAAATATGTACCAAAAAGAGATGTTTTAATGTATTTAAGAAAAAAGTATATATATTATAACTGTGTTGTATCTTGAGCTTATTGGCATTGTTAAAATGTTTGCTTAGCATCAATATTGTCATTTGGGTGCTGGAAAAAAAAAGTGAATCAAAAAAGTCCTCTGCAGATAAGGATAAATCATGATGTTTCTCCATGAATAGGGAAAATCTTTTTATTACTCTTGGTAAAATGCTCAGAAATCTGTCAGACAAATTATACATTCAGTCACATTTTTATCTTATTTGTAGTGAAAAAGCATAGCAGGACAGGGACTGTGGGTAAACAAACTTGCCTTAATTTTGTTTAAAAAGAATAGAAAAGGAAAGGAATTTGAGAACTATATACAATTTGTTGATGCTATAAACTATGATGGACAAAAAATGTAAGCATATTGTCCAGGCACAAGCTGACTTTCCTTAGAGGTCTTTGTGGAATACTTGCCAAAAATATATCAGAAAAGACCATGACATACAGATGGACCATCTTAGAGCCCAGTTTTATCAACCATATGTTCTTTGACCTCAACAGGAGCAGGAAATTTGCCTGAAGAAGTACTGCTGAATTGGGCGCCCATTGGTTCAGTTGCTGGACATGCTCCATTTTGTTTTTTTCTGCATATGTATCACAAGGAATCCTCTACATGGAATATAAAATTACTATAATCTACTCATAAGAGGAAAGAATCTAGCTAAACTACTGGTCATCATCATTTATCCATCTATTATATGTAATTTTGGAGTTCGTACTGTTAATTAATTTTCTGTCATCCCATTGTTCCCCTCTTATATGCATGTAACCCCTCAATGCATCTGTTAAGGGGGGTTGGACATTTTTCTTGAGATTACTGAATGTTTTCTTTCGTGCAGACCTGAAAAAATACTTATTACTGCAGAGCACAACATAAATGAAAGCTTTAAGAAAATGGGGCATATACTCAGCTGCTGTAAACTGGTATTACTACATCTACTTTGGTGGAGCTGATTTAGACCAATTGAGGATCTGGTCGGCCATCTCTGATTCTGATCTGGCTAACTATGATCATACAACACACTGGTTGTATAACACTGGTTTCAGTTGATTTATTCAAGACTTATGCCAGTATATATGAGATCAGTATCAGACTAAAAGGGCCAACTTCTGCTCAGTTTTCAGTGATGAATGCCACTTGAAGTATTGCTAGTGTTGAAATTAATGAGATTGCAGTTAATAGAACTGATAGCAGAATTTGCCCCAGTCTTTTTATAAATGTAGTTTGCACATATATTCTGCCATTCTAGACCCTCATGGTATTTGTTTCTGTAAAAGAATATATGTCTTTATCTGTGTGTGTATGTTGGACTCAAATTCTGCTTTAGCTGACACTGGTATAAATCCAGAACCATTCTGTGGACTTAATAGGAGTCACCACAGTATAACACTGGTGTAGGTGAGCACAGAAATTAGCCACTGTGTGTAGTATATGGTATATTGTAAAGGAGGTAACAAATTCTGAAAGCTAAATGGGAAATATAAAAAAGAGAAATCTGCTGAGAATATAGCTCCATTGTTTATTCTGCATACTGTACATGGAGTGATAAGTGTTACCAGCTCAGTAGTCTGTAGGGGGATTTCAAGAGTTCAGCTAACACCATTTTAAACTGCTAAACTCTTTTTTGGTGAAGTAAAAGCTAATAGTGTATATGATGTGTTTGCCATATCTCAGTGGTAGCTTCTGTGTTACATACAGTCAACATTGTTCTGAATTGTACATGTTTACCTGATGACAAGGATAAAATATGCTGTATAGTATGTAAAATGTACTGATTACAAGTTTGTTGGAGTTCAGTGACTTTTTTTTACTGATACTCTTTAATGAATTTTTGGGGATTTTGGGGGGGGGGGTGTTGTGTTTTTTGTTTGTGTTTGTTGTTGGTTGTGTGTTGTGGGGGGGGGGGGGGGTGTGTGTACGTGTGCGTGCGTGTGTGGGGGTGTGGGTTGTGTACGATGTGAGAAATAACTTATCCTAAAGGAAAATGGCAGTCATGTTACCTGCCTTAATGCATCTACATAATTTTGTTAAGTCTGTAGTTATGAATTCAGATTTCAAAACAAGTCATACAGTTGATCAATACTGTACCAAGGGCTGGGCTGTTTTACTTAGTAGTAATTAAGCTTGACTTTACTTGCAGCTCAAAAAAACATTGTTCGATAAGGAATAACATCCTTGAGTGTTCAAATAATTTAACTGGACACAATATGCAAGATCTTGTTGCATTTCTGATATGGACCAGATCACTCTCTGTCATATAGACTCATAACTCCTCATTACATCAGTGGGAATTACATATGTGTAACAGAGGGCATGTAATTTGCTCCATATTGAAGTGTAATTCTGATACTAATGGAAGAAATGTCCAGAATATGTCAGCTGTGGAGAAATATCTGTACAAGACTAATATAATGTCCTCTGGTGGGAATACCATTGAGAGTCCACAGTAATGGAACCCGTTTCCTGCCCCCAGATCTAGATTAATTCTAAAAGTAGATGTGGACATAGCTAAAGCCAAGGAAGTGTGCTGGTCAGTCCTTCCTATTGCTAGAAATTTGCTCTCGGAACCAATAACAGCTCTTATTAAAAAAAGACAGTGCAACTCCCACCAGATCACAGAGGTATGAGGGTAGGTGCTCTAGGAGAGAAGAGAAGCATTGGTATATTTGTATTATCCAGAAATATGGCAAGTCAGCCACCTCTGCCTTCTCAACAGTCAAGTATGGCTCCACCCTACCATCCCTCAATTCTGCTTGAGAAACCTCTGCTGGCTGAGAAGGATGACTGGACCCTCAGAACGTTAATTCATGTTACAGAGAGGATCTAATTCCAAATCTGCCCATCCAGCCAACTGTGTGTAGAGCTGCTTCATATTCAGTAGAGGTAGCTTCAGAGAGACCCCTTAAGCAGTGGATGAGTGGTCCTTGTAATGTGGTTGAAGCATTGAGGTGAAACTTGGTAGAGATCTACCCCAGGAAGAGCACTGTTTGTCTAATTTAAGTATGCTTTCTCTTGCCATCACTTTCTCTCCAACCTAAACATTCAGTCTTCCCTCACCTCCTTTCAAAGCACATCAACTCTCTTCACCTCATCCTTCAGGCACCCTTGCAACATCACAAGCTGCTATGAGCAAAGGTGCATTTATACTGGCCAAAAGAAGGTTGTTCATTTCATTGTAGAGCTTCAGCTTGGTCAACAGCTTCCATGTAGAGAAAATATGTACGCATGACTGAGAGAAGGCCGAGGCAGGTTTATATAGCCCCCGTCCATCCCCAGTCTCCAGATGCATGCACATGCTTGATCAGTTCTTGTTTAATTGAAGAGAATTAGCCCTGAAATTTGTAACTCTAGATTGAAAGCTAGAATGAACAACTAACTAGTAAGCATGCAGTGGAAACCTTCATGTGCTAGTATGGATATAAACTAGAGCACTTAGGCCTCAGTCCTGACATTGGAGCAATAAGGATGAACCTTTTCACTCATGCTGAATTCTATCAAAGTCAATTGGATTTGAAAACATTTCTAGGTTCTGTGAAACATGCAACTTCACACATCTATTTTGATGAGTGTTATATCACCTGTGAAGCTGGGATCCTTGAAGCAGAATCCACTGCCTTTAAGTGTCATTATAATCACGTGGAATAAAATATGTGTTTAAAGATATAATGTAAGAAACAGAAATAGCTGGATTTTTCAGGGCAGATGCTGCAGTCATGAATAGTTATAGAAGCATGTAAGGTTAAAAGGACAACATTTTTGTGCTTCCCCTTGTCCAAAGGTATTCAGATTTTCTGCATAAAAGCCTTATTGTTCCAAGCAATTCCTAATGCACTGAAATGCTGTTGCTCTATTTTTGTGGGAAGTCTGATTATGTAACACTGGGGACAGTTAGCCCGTGTGTATTATGCACCAAAGGTTCACAGGGCTGCACCTTCTCTTTAGGATGTAATCAATAGTATTTTAATAAATGTTGTGTAAAATCAATGCCTACAGTTCTGTATAGCAAATGTGAATTTTTATGACAAGAATGTGTATTTAATGTAAAAAAATAAAACCAAGTTTCTTTGTATTCAGTGAAATGTCTAATAAAGGCCAGGCACCTGTACTCTGATGTTGTGGTCTCAGTGTGACTGTCAGTTCACAAGTTCATTGTCTAGCTATATAAGAAGCCTTCTAGAAATGAGTGACCAGAGCCTCCCGGGCCATTTCACAGGGCTTGAGGCTCTGTGAAATGGTCTGGGAGGCTCAAGCTGCCCTGTGCACATGCAAAGAATGCTTCTGTAATTGCTCACTAACAAATAGAGCTCAAAAGGTTTCAAGTAACTTTGATGTGTTCTCTAAGGGCCTGTAAGGTCATCAGGAAAGCTATAGGCTTTCCTGCTTACCAGTCACTCACCAATAAGGTAGGTGTAACAGGGGGGCTCTCTCAGGGCTGATTTCCCCGTGTCCTGCTCACCTGTTTCTGGGCTAACCACCCATTTTCTCTCCCGCCATGCCTTGTTGCCAATTAATTAATTAATTGATGTAAATAAAGCAGGAGGCTGCCCATTTCCTGCCCTGATGCCAGGGGGCACTATCTGCGGCTCTGTTCCTCCCCTATACCGCAGCCCAAGCCTCGCAAATGGCATCCAGATGTTACTAACATGACCAGCCCACACTGGGCCCCAGAATCCTACTAGTTGAACCCCACCTGGATCCCTCCATTCTGGTGGCCTATTCCACCTTCATTGTGGGCAGCATAGCTCCCTGGACTGCTTCCCCCTTACAGGTGTGGTCCCCCCACAACCTTTGGCCACTAGCTCTAGCCCACCTCCAGGCCAGTCAGAACCCCAGGCCCTCAGCTCTTGGGCATCCCTCGCGGTGGGCCCCTGGCCCTTCAACCCTTCAAGTCCCGGCCCTAGCATTGACCAGTCA